TCAACATGTTGTCTGCATTGTAGTGAGTAGGGATTGCTGACCTACATTCATTTACGTGTCATTAGCTAATACACCTGTGTGCCATGAGGATTGGAGAGTGTGTGGCTGAGAGGGTCGCGGTTTGTAAACTGTTTACTGATCAAGTTGACTTTTCACAGCAGGCCAAAACAACCCTCATGCCACCAGGAAATATTCCAGCTTTGCTAACTGACCAGTCCACCCTGTGTGTGTCCTCATTAGGATAAGGATCGGTACCCTGTTTGATCAAGCAGTGTTAAGTTTATATTGTGAACTATGCTTAAATTATAAGAGTACAGTTACACTAATGCAGTGGTTCCCAAACTTTTTTTGCTGGGCCCCCCTTTGTTTTACAAGAAAAATGTTCGCGATTTGAAGAACCCAGCACGTGCTCCCGACGAAGGGAAAACCAATTCTGCAGGGGAGACCTACCTCAGCACTTGTGCAGGTGAAGCCAAAGGGCAGATATGCTTCACCATATTTTCTAGTCTTTGGTTTAGAATGAAGTTGGTTTGGAAACATATTCAGCGATGCTTCATCTCCTGATTTGCGTTTGTGTGGGCGCCCGTGCTAGCAGTGTCCAAGCTCTGTTTTTTTTGTTTTGTTCTATTGGAGCCACATGCTCCAAAAGAATAAGAGCTAAAGCAAGGAATTAAGACAAAGAGTGAAACACAACTGTAGCACTACTGAAATAAAAATATAAACCTGCGAATTATCATAATAGGAGCGTTTTAGGAAGAACAGGTGCTGAGGCTGACTTCAGTTCAATGTGAATGGACTATGCAGTATCTATTATGTAGGGAGGAATATAAGGGAGAGCTCTTTGAGAACACAGCATCACAATAAGACAACAAGAATGTTTTAGACTAAAATCCTGCTGTATTCTGTATGTTGTACACTTCATAATAATAATTTTAAAAAAAACTAAAAGACTCAAACCTGCTGTATTGTGTAGGAGTGTGTATAATATAAGCATTTTGTATTTTATATTCTATATTACGATTCATATTATGCATTGTGGACCTTCTACTCTGCTTTAGCATACTGCATGCAGATGGAGAAATGTAAATGATAAACAGAGAAACAAGGGAGAAAAAGCATCACTGCAAGAAAAATGAAGGCGCACGAGCTGCAGAGATGGAGGCAGATATGTTTCCCCAGACGTAAACCTAAACCTGATGGCTATCTGTGTGACAGTGCACATTTTATTACTCTATTAAATAACCCCCTGACTAACACAGAACCAGGCCAAGTGTGGGTACCAAACCATTAATGACACACATAAACCTTAGAAAATGGATTGTGCTATCTGTGTAGCACAGTGGAGTGCAGATCAGTCGCTAGATTCATGTTCAGGGGAGACTAAAGTGAGCGGGGAGGTGCAGTAAGAGGAACAAATCTTGTCAGCAGGTTAAGCTTGCTTTTGATTCATTGAGAAGTTAATGAAAAAGTTAATATATTTAACAATGTTAAAACCCTGAAATCTAAGTCAGCCGTTACAGCCAATCACCATCCTTTTACTTGCAATGTCACCAAAAGTTACGTCCGATTTAGAGGACAGTAAAGTTTTATAGCTTCTGGAACTCAAGTAAAAGTAAACATTATGTTGGATGGTTTTGCTGAAACGTGATGCTGTTGCTCACATGTGCAAATGCTTTCTGTTCTCGAGAATGTGCATATGCTACTTAGTCACCAATGTACTCATTACTTAATGCTTTGCTATAGCATGCTATCTATCACATTTAACTAGTGCAACTCAGTTTGATAAGTGCTTTCCCAAAGTTGCAGCGCCAATCTGCAGAGTGTAGTTACATAAAGGTCATTAAGCTACAGGAGCAACTAATGCAGCATATTCTATCGAACTGACTTTATGAGGGAGTTGGGCTGGAAACCCGTGTAAGAATGTCTAAAACGCAGGGTTATTAAGAAAAATCAAGTTATTACAAAAGAAAGTAAAACCTTAACTGTGTGGTATTGATTTGATATCAGTCATAAGTGGAAAATCTTATCAAAAGGTGATAAATGTTCATTATAATTTTAATATATTTCACATGTAAAAACAAAAAAGTTACCTGAAACCTCAGTTTAGCCCAAATATGTTGTTCTGTGACTTACATGCTGTTTTTTTCACTCATGGGTAATTGGTTTGATTTAATGACTTCTCTCTCTTAAAATAGTGATTATTAAAAAAACATTTGGATTTGAGATGAGTTTCTTATCGTTTTGATTTTATTACTTAGTTGCTGAATAAGTCATCTTTTTTTCTCCTTTTGTTTTTCCTCAATTTTAATGTCTTGCAAAATAAATAGCTTGGAATCAAAATTCAAACTTTTAGGTAGCATTGGATATCGCTGCTGTCAAACACTATTATCTGTTATCGTTATTATCGCCCTTTCGTAAATATCCGGAGGTATCACTCGTCCATTTTTTTTCTGAAAGTCATGCTTTGCTCGCACTCTGTGTCTGACCTCCCTGATTTTTCAGTCAGAGAGTAGATTTAGTCTGTCATCATGCTTGCTTGTGTCTTTATATTCCTCATTTTTCATTAGGATGTGGTTTCTGAGTCTCTGAAGATTTAAACTGTTACCTTGAGATTTAAAGGGGGGGGGTTGGATCCACCTTTAGACTTCTTTTTGCTTGATGTTGGCGTAAGTGAAAACATTTTGTAACAGGAAAAAAATCTAATAAAAACAACCTGTTATTAGATGGAAAAAATGTGAAAATATTTCACCTGTACACAGTGCGTAACTTTAGCCAAGAGCTAATAAAGAAAATATAATATATTACGTACAAGTTTTGTCATAAGGTTATTTTTGCACCGTTAAAGGAAAAAGAGAGATAAAAGAAGAGGGATTAAAAGAAGATTCATTATAATTTAATCAATTTAATTAAATTCATTAAATTCATTAAACACATATGTATTCATGACACATTTTCATGTTATTCTTTTTTATCTTCATTGTATCACTGTAAGTAATGAGATGGCAAAATCAGCTGTTCATAAACACCAAATAAATGAATTTAGCTGTGGTTGTTTAACTGATGTGATCCATGTGTAAGCTCAGCTGTATATGTGTGCAGTTGTTGTTTAAGGGGATATGAAGCAGTTTATATAAGGCGCACTGTCGATGAATCTGTTTTCATACAGATCAGATAAGTCAAACTTTACTCAACTCATTCTTCATGGTTCCTCCACTTCTGTACCATTGATTTGTTAATGTTGAATTCTCCCACAGTTGCTCTATTCCCATGTTGTTGCAGTATATTAATGACTAACCTCATATGGGGCGATCGTGGCTCAAGAGTTGGCAGTTTGTCTTGTAATCGTAAGGTTGCTGGTTTGAGCCCTGGCTCGATCATTGGTCATTGTGCCCTTGGGCACACCATTGCCTACTGGTGGTGGTCAGAGGGCCCGATGGCGCCAGTGTCCGGCAGCCTCGCCTCTGTCAGTGCGCCCCAGGGCTGCTGTGGCTACAATGTAGCTTGCCATCACCAATATGTGAATGTGTGTGTGAATGGGTGGATGACTGAACGCTTTGGAGTCCTTAGGGACTAGTAAAGCGCTATACAAATACAGCATTTATCCTCCAGCTTCACTGTTTATGTTATGCTAACATAGCTGTGTTGCTAGCGATCATGTAGCACATTGTTATATACCAGCTAGTCCAACTTCAGTAACCTACAAAAGTCACTGCTGTTTAGTTTTCTGTCTTCATTTATGTTGGAAGTGATATCAGAGCTGTATGTTTTAATTTTTTCAGAAATCACTCAGTCAGAACATGCTATATCATGTTTAGGTTTAGGTAACTAGCAAAACTAGCGAACTAACTTCCCGCTAACGCCGTTAAATTGAATAAATTTAAATTCTAGTGGTACGGATGAAGTCATAGAATCACTCTGATTGATATTTTTGGATAAAGTTCAAAAATAAAATCATCTATCTGTTACACTAACCTGCCATAAGCGACAAGACATGTACCACATTCAGATGAATGAGTCTGATGATGTTTTGTCTCCAGATTTATGACATTTTAGTAATGAAGACTTTGAACGTCCATCGCTTTATTATCTCAGCCAGAGTTAAATGATTTAATGTAAGATTTGTATCTGCCAAAGGAAGCGTCTGACTTGTTTGGGTCTAGATTCAGTGAAAAAGCCCTCCTGGCTCCAGGAACCAAATTTTCTTTTTATAGGCATCGCAAGAAGGATTTTATTCCATTCTTTGAAATGGATGATGCCATTATTTGTGTTGATGGTAAAGGTCTTTTGGGGCAATGGGTTGTGAGTACTGTTACGGCCCTAGCCTCTCTCTCTCTCCTGAGGGTGCCTGTGTGGGCGTGTCCCACTACCTCCCCTGCCTGAGGTGCCACCTTTCCCTCCTGTACAGCTGACTCCCATCAGCAATTAAGGGTATTTAAGCCCAGAGCAGGGTGAGCTCTGGGCCAGAGTGCCATTTTGTGTGGGTACAGCTAGTGAGCTGAGTGTCTTGTGGTGTTTCCAGCTAGTGAGCTGCACTTTCCTTTTGACTTTTTGCCTTACTGACCGACGCCTGAGTTTTGTTTGTTTCTTTTATGGTGATAACGGCTTGTCCGTCTCTTTTAGTTGAATTACTTCAATAAAACTGTTTTATTTAACTGTTTTGCCTCCCTGACTCCTTTTTCTGACCCGGTCACTTTTGTTACTTCCCCCTCCCCGCCTAGACCCCCCCCCCCAGGGGAACGTAACAGTACAATGCAGTTGGAGTGGACTGTTCATCGACAAGTAGAGAAGCCAGCGTATATTAAGTAATATTGTTTACTGGTATTTTTGAACTTAAATTTAAGGTCAATTAATGTCAGATATATTCTGGCAAACAGCAGACATTTTATTCCTTGATGCAGGGCGGGGAAACAGAATATATAAGATGCTTCTCAGCTTTCACAATCCGACCGTACTTCATACTTTCTGTGTGTAACTGTGTCTCTGTGTGTGTGCTTTCAAAGGTTGGAGGTCATACCATGCTGCCCATCCGCTGGATGCCTCCTGAAAGCATCATGTACAGGAAGTTCACAACAGAAAGTGATGTTTGGAGCCTCGGAGTTGTTCTCTGGGAGATCTTCACCTATGGAAAACAACCTTGGTACCAGCTCTCCAATAATGAGGTATACAAACTTTTATTATAAGTGCAATAGTTTCTTCTGCAGGTGCACGAAGACGTTTGTGATTCACAATTATATAAACGACCTGGCTTAATAATTAACATACTTTTTGCAGTGTTTTTAAATTTGTTGAGTGATCACCAAGTCCTGGTAATTCCAGCATTAAAGTTAAAGTAACAAAAGTTCTGTAAAAATTGCCTTGGAAGCACCTTCTTTTTAATAAGTGATGCTGAACAAGCTGTTGCAGCCCCGAGATATGATGAAACAGCCCTTCAGTAAAAGTAAGGCTAAATATTTGATCTGTTTTGTGTGCATGTTTCTCATAGGTATACACCGAGTGAGTCTTTTGTTCTGCATCATCTCCTCACTCACAGAAACTCAGTAAGAATGACTTCATGACATGGAGCAAGCTACTCGAAAGAAAGAGAAACAAAACCCAGATGAAAAATCTGCCGGGGCTGTTTCTTTTTCCTGAGTCTAGCAGAAGTGTAGCAGTTGTTAGACATCGCGCCTTTTAGATTTTTTAGATATTAAGAGTATTTTCTTGATTCCTCTTACTTACTGTATAATGAAGTTGGAAGTAAATGGCAATTTCTTAAAGCCACACGTGGTAATATAGACTTTTTCTAAATAACATAATTTGTTTTAAACACTCAGATGTTTTGAATTTCCAGAATTGACAACTGCCTCTATCAGAAAGCTGTGGAAAATTAAAATAAGGCTGAATTGTATGAATGACTCATTTTAAAATGGCTAAACAATCTACTTGCTCAAATTCAATCAGATTGTGGAAACAACAGCAACTCCCTCACACAAAGAAAATCAACTTAACCCAGAATTCGAATCAATTTTCCGGAAAACACAGCAGTGTCACAGCCTTCAACCCCTCGTCTTAACCTTAGCCTTACCAGCATGAACCCTGGGAGAGCCCTTAACTCTGGTTACATCCAAAAAATTAACCTTTAGCCCTTTCACTGTCTTCTTTTACCCTTTATGTCTGTCTATCCTCTGCTGTATCACAGCTCACTCGCATCGTGAATGAAATGTGATGCTCACATATCTTTTACACAGGATTTAAAGTTTTGATTGGGTCCTTTGTAATTTTAGATATTGAAATACTGCCTGTGCTGACTACAAACAGTACAATCACCTGACACTTTGTTAGGTACACTTATTTATGGGCTTGTTAATGTAAATATCTAATCAGCCAGTCGGCCGCTGCAGCTCAATGCATTTTGGCATGTAGTCATGGTCAAGATGAAGCTCAAACTGAGCATCACAACTGCTGATCCACTAGAATTTTTCTAAGGGATCAAATAGAAAACCAAGTGAGCTGCACCGTTAATGCCAAAGGTTGGAGCAGAATGGCCAGAATGCTAACAACTCAAGTAAATGCTCATTACAACTAAAGTATGCAGAAGAGGCCTCACACAACACAACACATTGTGTTGTTGATTTGGTGCAAACTACATGAAAGCATGGACATATCCTTTGTATCAATGATTTAGGCTGCTGTGTGTCAGGTAAGGGTGTGGAGGATAATTTGTTGGCACACTTTCAGCACCTTAACATCGTATAAACACCACAGCCTCACTGAGTATCGTTGCTGACCCTGTCCATCCCTTTATGATCACAATGTGGTGATCTTCTGCCTGCTGATCCCAGCAGATAACACATCATGTCATAAAGCTCAGATCATCTCAAACTGCTTCCTTGAACTTGACAGTGAGTTCATTGTACCCCTGGTGTCACTGACCTCCACAGTCACCAGATCACAATCCAATAGATCAACTTTGAGATGCGCTAGAACAGCGGATTCACTTCATGATTGTGCAGCTGACAAATCTGAAGCAACTGTGTGATGCTGTCATGTCAAAATGGACCAAACTCTTTGAGGAATGTTTACAGCACCTTGTTGAATCTGTGCAATGAACAATTAAAGCAGTTCTGAAGGTAAAAGCAAGGTGCATCTAATGAGTAGGTGTTTACACATGCATGTTGTAAATCTGACTTTCCCCTCACGCTGGTGTAGAGAAATTGCAGACTTTGTCTTGAAGACTTCTCTGGCATATTATTTCTCGAGTTCAGTAAATAATTTATTCGCTGTGACATTTTCACTTGGCAGAGCAGATGCTCCATCATCTTAACCGGAGTTTGAACACTGAATTTATTTTTTCTGATTTGTTCTTTACTAAATGGGATGGGGCTTCTTCTCACAATTAACTTGATGCTTGTCTTTCTTTCGCTCTGTAGGTGATAGAGTGTATAACCCAGGGCAGGGTGCTGCAGCGCCCTAGGACCTGTCCTAAAGAAGTGTATGACCTGATGCTGGGCTGCTGGCAGAGAGAGCCACACATGCGTCTCAACATTAAAGAAATCCACAGTCTGCTCCTCAACCTGGCCAAGGCCTCGCCTGTGTACCTGGATATACTGGGCTGAACGCAGAAGGAGGCTGAAGAAGGGTTTTAGCTGTGTGTGTGTGCGACATGTGTGCATTTATGTGGGGATGGTCGCTGAATGTGAACGTGAATGCATATTTGTGGTTGCGTGCGTGTGTGTGCGAGCTGCAGGGTGCGAAGCTCATACAGGTGTGCGTGTGTGCAAGGTGCCGCTGTACAGGATGTGAAGCTATTATTAAACTCTCAAAGGCAATCAAAAAATTCCTCAACTGATCCCCGATCGCCTCTTTCTTCCCTGCCGATGTCCTCTCCTTTATGCATTTCCATCCCCCTTCCTTACCGAAGAGACATTTAAGAGTAATTTAACTTTGGAGTAAAAAGAAAAACAAAAAAACCCAAAAAAAACAACAGCATCTCACTTATTTTCAAATGCTTTAAACTGACTGGGGCTAAACTGATGAAACCTAATTTAAAGGACTTTTAAATGACTCATTCCCTGCTGCCTGTTGGACAACAGGACTCGTTTGAACATTTGCAAATTTCGAGGAGCCGTGGCGAGGGGAGGATTTCCGGAAGCTTCGATCTTTTGCGTGTAAATATGAGACTGGCGAAGGAAATGGCTCTGAGAGATGTCGAGCCATAAAGACACTGTGTTTTCCCCGCCCACCCTGTCGGTTTGTCTGTCTTTTGTCTGTCTCTCACAAATGCATATCAGTATTAACGTCTGCGTCCATCCAACAAGACTACACAGGCAATGATTAACACGTTGGTACACATACAGTAAATTGCGTGTGACCAAATAATGACTGGAGAAAAAAAACAGTAAACAGAATCTGCTTTCCTGTCACACAAAATTAGGAGATGTGATGAAAAGATCATTTCTGGTCGGCCAATTTTGCTGATGCAAAAAAAACCCAAAACAGCGGCAGCTGAGGCTGATCTGAAATGCTGTGGTGACGGAATAATTCAGGAGTATGGCGGAGGAATTGTGCGATATTTAATCGTGAGTAATACAAATGTAAAAAAAAAAAAAAGTGTCTGATCTACATTAGCTGCTCATTATCCGCTCTTGTTCTGTTGTTTTACTCAGGCCTGTACTGCACTGTCATACAGCACAGGGTAACATGAGGACTACTCCCCCAACCCCCTAAAGTGACAGATGCTTCACCTTGTGATGTCAAGCGCTCATGTCAGAGGTCAATTGATTCATTTGTCCACAGCTGTCCAACAATCGCGAGATCATGGCGTTGGGGAGGGAGGCGTAAAGGTTGCCTGGGGAGGCTCGGGGTTTGAGTGGTCAGATGACGGTCAGATGTGTGGGTGGCGGCATTGTAGAAGGTGTGGTTCATTTGGTCAACCCATATTAAATCATCAAAGCTCTCAGCACTTAGACATCCTTGAAAACCACATCTGCGCTACAGGGGATGCACACGAGAACACACACACACACAGTGTATACTTTATCCCATCATCCTTCCATTGCTATATCCTCACACACACACACACACACACACACACACACACACACACACACACACTGAAAGTCACTCAAAACTGTCCAAGAAGGAAATTGAATTGTGCATGTTTTATTATTTGAGCGGTGCAGTGCTTTAGCCAGGCCCCGTGCTCTGTAATGGTGTAATGTATATTTCATTACAGCCTAATGGGCTCCATTAGCACAGTCTCCTCACAGACATTCAAGACTTATTGTTTTACGGCCGAGAAGCAAGGGTGGAAGGATGGAGAGGATAGAAGAGGTGAAGGAGAAGAAACAAAAGTAAGGGGCCCGGAATGAGGAGCAGCAGAGGGGAGAAATGGGAGGAGAGGTAATAACGCATGGTGGGAAGAAATGGAGAGGAAGGGAGAGAGTTCAGATCGGAAGCAATGGGGTAGAAAGGAGAAGACGATGGGAGTGTGACGGTACGGATGGGTCATGTGGAGAAAGATGAAGGAGGAAGAGGAGACAGTTGAGCGGAAAGGCAGAGGGAGAGAGTGGCGGAAAGAGAGGTGTAAATGTCCCCGGGGAGAAGGTGAGCGCGAACATCCCTCATTACTGTAGCCTGCAGATGTTCTGTAAGCCACAACTTTAACTTCACGCTCTCCTCACATTCCTACAGCTGCCCTCAACCACATTTTACACACATGCAAACTTCCCCACACACATTTTACTGGCAGTCCACCAACAGCTTAAACCGAAAATAAACTCAATAATGTACCACACATCCCCATTATTGAGAACCACTTCACTCACTTACAGTACAGCTCAGATATCTGAAAGCTTACAGACGCACTGTATATACAGCATCTCGTGCATGCAAGGAGACACATTCTGTGTTTGTTTTTTTGCATTTTACTGGGGCATATTTATCCTTTACAGATATATGAGGTACAAAAAAACTAAAAAAAAAAACAAAAAAAAAACAGTCATAATCACTGCGGTTTCACTTACAGCCATTTTTAATTCGATGTCTTCTTGTTTATTAACAACAGCACTTGATGGTATTGGTGTTTGTGGATTTTGAAAATGTTGATTTTATTGATTTCTAGTATTATTATTTATAAATTAAGAAGCATTTTGTACATTTCTTTCTATAACTGAAGTTGCCTTTTGCAACTACAACTTGACTGAAGTTGAACGCTGGTTTAGTTGATTACATTTTAGCAAGATAATCTTGAGTGTATATGTATTTTTTATGTCAGGCTCCCTCTAAACAGTTACTATGCCTGTCCTCTTCGTGCAGCCCGCTGCACAACAGGGATGGATGTTTCATCAGTCCGTCACTTTTCTAGATTTAGCTCGACATATTGCGAAATTATTGTCACCTGTCAGCGCTAAGTGTGAGGCTTAATGGAAGAAGCATCGACAGTACGCACTAACAAGGCTCTCAGAATCCATCCCTGCTGTACAGTCAAGTAGAGTTTGCACTGAGTGAGCACACTCGCAAACACGTTCAAAAACTTGCCACACAATAACTCTGTGCAATAACAGAGGGCATGGTATGTGAGGGCCTGTGTGTGAGCTGGAAATAAAAAAAACCTAACTGTGAGAAACCAATGCAGTGCGTATGAGAACGCCTCTGGTGTCAAAAGAGTAGCGTACGTTGAAGAAACAAGTTCAGCTGGCTGCACCGTGTGTGCACGTACCCGCTGTGTTTCCTTTTCTTTCTTTTTTTAACAAAGTAATGAACTGTGTCAAGTTGGACAGCGGTGATGTTTTGATAGTCGCTGTGAGAGGAAGAGGCTGTGAGAGAGGTGTTTGCTAAGACGAAGACTGGTCAGCAAAGATCGACTTCGCGTTGATGCCTCACATCACAGAGATTTCAGCAAAGGGGAGACGATAAAAAAATAAAGGGAAAAACAACAACTGCTGTATGACCAGACACCTCAGACGAGGAGGGACTGACAATCACAGACTTCTTTCTCTCTCTTATTCAAGTGACCTACTGTAAAATAGACTATTCAACCAACTTTCCTCTTCTATGCTGCCTATACTGTATGTGATAGTCTTAAACTTTGGTCTTTAGAAGTGCTACTTTTCCTTTTTTCTTTCTCTTTCTTTCTTTCTTTCTTTCGTTCTTTCTTTCTTTCGTTCTTTCTTTCTTTCTTTCTTTTTGTAAAATGAAATAACAGCAAGAGGAATGAACAAAAATACAAATGTACAAATGTGAATAAGCTGCTGAAAGAAATAAGCATCGCTAACTACTGTGTCCCAGACTGTGTCGGTATCTAGATTGTACTATTTTCTTCCTTTGTTTTTGAAGTAGAGGGCAGAGAAATGGGAAGCTGCACTGGACTCACAAATACACAAGATGACATACAGCAGCCCCCGGGATTCCGAGTGATGCTTGCACATTCTCTCGGGGGGTGTTTGCGTGCGTGTCTGTGTGTGTTTGTGTTTGTGTCTGTGTGTGTGTGTGAAGAAGGCTGATTGATGCCAGAGTGAGTCAGGAGGGATCTGGAGGCTGGGTTTTAGACTCAAGTTCAAATGCAATGAGATTCAAGACGAGAATCACCGATTGATTTGTTGTCGCTGTTCACCAATTCATGATAAATGGCTTTCCCCAGTCATGTAGGACTGTGGTGTGTATTATGGCAGCTAAGATTTATGGAATCAGTCAATTGCTTTATTTATGACTCCAAAATCAGCCTTCTTCTCTACGCAACTTACTAAAGCCTGGTTTTCACACAGGTATATCAGCAATAGTAACTGATATTTTCCTTTATTGGTTCTCCTCACTTTTACGTAGTTTGCGCTGAGTTTGGGCTAAACCACGTGACTCAGTGGACCAAAGCATATATCTCATACAGTAGATACACATCGCAACTTTGAGTATGCTTTGATCCATATCACATTTAATCCCTTCTCTCTCTCACAACCCCAGCATCACAGTCTAAGCTTATAGAGCTAAAACATCTTAAAGGTCATCTCTGAGATTACTTTTGTGCTTGGATGCTTCTGGAGCCTGTACGCCCTGAAAAACATAATACCACAAAAACTGCTTTGCTGCATAGAAAAAAATAGCATTGAGGAAGAAAACTGTGATTTGCTATATGCAGTATTTTTTATTTATTTATTTATTTATTTTTTGGTATAATTTTTGGGGTTCTGTGCCGTTTGTTTCTTGTGTTGAGGAAGGTTTAACCACTGCTATTGTGGCAGGAGTGGAAGAAAGAGAGGATGTTTTTGGATTGTCAGAATTTTTAAATGGGATGGTGGACAATATGTGTATGGAAGATGTGTTAAAATGTTACTTGTTTGCCTACAGATGCTCTTCAAAATGTAAGAAACGTGTATTGCAAAGCACACAATGTTATTAAAGCTGGAAGTGTTCTGTCTGATCGAGATCACGAACGTTTATCTTTGCAAGCAGTGTTTTGGGTTTTTTTTATTGGTACTGGAAAGAAAACGTCTGGATGTCCACATCTGTGCCCTGCTGGTTCAAACACACACACACACACACACACATTAAATTCACACACACATACAGACACACAAACACACATAGAAACACAGACCAGAGGGAACTTGTACAGTCATACAGTTGCGTGGTGAAAATGGTCATAGTGACTCATGATGGTGATGATGGTGATAATATGACTTCTCTCTGAAGGTGGACCAGTCTGTTGTGATATAGTGTAATTAATAAAAAGTGTTATGTCACATCAAAGTTCCTGCAAGTGATTATACGGACATGTTATACACATATGTGTGTGTGAGAGAGAGATGAATTCAGAAGTACTCAGGCATGTTCAAGGCAGTGTAAGAAAAGCAGAAAAATATGCCCAATTGAATTGAGTGATAGAGCTCGAGTGTCCGAGTGATGCTTCAACTCTCTCGTTCTATTAATCCCAACATAAATCCAGCGTCTTTTAAGGGAGAAAAAAAACTTACTTGGTTTGCAGATTAGAAGCAAGCCGAAGGCTTTTGTGGGGAATTGTGCGAGCAAATTGGACAGGAGCGTGTGCCTAAATCCCTGATGCAATTAGGCAACAGCTGAATTAATATCTCCTTTTTACACAGAGCTCTGTCTACAATTTATCTTTTAATAAAAATGTCGTTGGGAAGGAAATAAGAAATGCAAAAATTCACCTTAGTGTAAGTGTGTGTGTGAACTGTGTGTGTGGGAGATACTTAGACTTAGCATACTGCCTGGGTAAGCAACAGCCAGGTGCTGCTGAT